TTATTTTTTACAATATTCTCAGATTCCATTTTTTCTCTCTCCTTTTCAAAATCCATACTGTAAATATGCATTATGCTAAATTTATTTATTTCAATTTATTTATATATTTATTTTCAATTACATCAGAAAAATTCTTGCAACAATAGGTTTCCTATCCCTAATTAACTGCAAAACACCAACAAAAAATACATAAAATATAATAAATAAAGTATAACAAAACACAGCATGAAAAAATTATAAAGAAAAAAATTATGAATCATATATTAATTTGCAGGCCTTTTTAAAATAATGATATTTATCTATAAAATACCATTTTTTTTACGATTAAACAACTTTATAAAATCCATTTATATTCTTTAAGTTGCTATTACTTTTACTATTTTAAAATCACTATACCAATAAATAATAATTCAATTTAAAGTAATTAACGGTTCAGCAGTAAAATAAACAGCAATTTTGGTTAATTAAGAGCGTTTTATCATTATAAGAGTTTAATATTTGATAAGATACAATACGATACGATATGTTTACTAAAATACCATCAAATCTTAAAGCTTCATAGTAATAAATATATACTGAAATATCCTCGAATATGCGAAAAATTTTATTAATTTATGATGAGTAATGCAAAATGTGTATGCTAAAAAATTTTTTAAACAGGATATTATGGCATGCCGCTCTATCACGTTGCAAGTGATCCTAAAAGGTCGATTTACACTGAATGCAATCGCTAGCGGATGCGGCAAGCTATGCGAATTTACGTCATTAATGACGTCGAAAACGATAAGATTTGAATATAATTGGTGGAATGAATGATGTGGCGTCATCAATGACGCAATTTTCGCATCGCTTTTCGCATTCGTTAGCGATTCGCGTTTCATTGCAATATTTCTAGCGATTTTTCGGCAATCAGAATGCAATACAATTTGTTCAATAGTATTCTAAAATATTTTAATTGAATTTTAATCATTAAACTTCAACAGAATCTTTTAACAGAACGAAAATCGCTAGTATATTCGAAAAACAATACGAAAATTGTGTCATCGATGACGCCATATTATTCATTTCACCAATTAAATTCAAACTTTATCGTTTTACGACGTCACTAATGACGTAAATTCGCATCTGCTAGCGATTGCATCCAGTGTAAATCGACTTTTTAGGGTCATTTACAATGCAATGGAGCGACATGCCACAATATTCCTTTAAAAACAAAAATTAAAAAAAGAAAAAGTAAATATTGTTTAGAGATTTTAGAATTCAGGAAACAGAACGACAACAAATATATTTTTCTATGATAAATTGTTCTTAAAACAAAGAATATCCAAGACAGATATTCTAGATGTAAACTCGTATATCATTTGAGAAAAATTGATTATTAAAATAATATTTCTTCATTATCGACATGAAAATTTTTACTTGAATGAATAATTATTTATAATTTTCAACGTCTTTAGAACAATCTTCAATTTCAAGAACCATCAAAGATATTAATCATTCTCAAATTCTTACAATTTAGATCTTTAATTTGCATTTTCTAAAAATACAAAATAGAAAAAAAAAGAGAGAGAGAGAAAAGATCTTTATTACGCTGTATCGAAACTTTAAATTCGATATAACATAAGTTTAAAATTATTATTAATTATCTTTAAAAGTCTAGCAATTTATATATTATCTGGAAATTTAATCCTCATATTAAATGAAGATTGTTATTTTTAATTATTCTATACAATATCATCAAATATTTATCATATTTTATTTACATCTTATATTTAAAAAAGATATTTTTATTACGTTATATCAGAGTTTTAACTTTAATTAGAAGTTTTAATTAAATTTTAAAATTATCATTAATTATTCTTTAAAAAAATTATAAAATTTTCATTGTAGTATCATCTGTCAAGCATTTATAAATTAAATATTCTATTAAAGTTGTGGAAGATTTTTACACGTAAAATAATCAAAAAATGTTATATTCATTTCAAATAATGAAGAATGAATTTCTAAAAATTTTAATTACTTAAAAAAAATGAAAGTTTTTACAAATTTATTCTTCATTGTTTCAAACAAATATATATTATTTTCTGGATGTAAAAATCTTCCATAGCTTTAATATAATCTTTAATTTCTAAATTGAAGCTAATACAAATTAATGATAGTAAAAATAGTGTTTTCTAAAAACGTAAATAAAGAGGTTTTCGTTGCGTTATATCGAAGCTTAAATTTCAATATAAAGTAAGCTTATTAATTATATTTTATACATTATTTTCATGTTAATTTTTAAAAAATTTAAACAGAATATTAATATTTTAGAAATTTATTCTTTATCAACTTAAATGAAGATCATTATTTTGATTGGTTTATATATAAAAATCTTCATTATAATTTACAGTAAGGTTAATAGAATCTTCAATTTCTAAATATCTAACAGATGTTATCATCTATCATCATTCGAAAAAAATCAATGATGTTTTCTTAGAAACAAAGATGACTTTATATTTAATATATATATTTCCCCTGTTAAATAAATTTTTATTTTTAAAATATAAAACAAAAAAAAACTGACAAATCTTGATAAAGACATTAATAAAAATTTATTTTAAATCTAATTTTAAAAATTAGATTTAAAAAAGTTAATTATTAAAATAAATTAAAAATTGAGTAAATTTTAATAAAATTTCTTTAAAGTAAAAAATATATTTATTTATTTTAGTATAAAGAATGATTTTTCAAGTGTTTTTTTTCCTTAGATATTTCGTTACTCTTCATATAAGAAATATGAAACGAAATGGAAAAATTATAGATTGATGATAAATTTTATTTATTTATTTTATTTTTCTTTTAACGAATATACAGTAAACAAGAGTAAGAGTACTAAAAAAAGTTATTATTTATCTAGAAAAGATAAAAAGTATTTCGATTAAGGAACTGGAATGACGTTAAGATCTTCAAAAAAAAAATATCCTTTACTATTATTAGTTCTTCAATAGTGTACAACTTGGAGTGCTCGATTTACCGGTAATTGTTGTAAGTCACGACACATCTTTCTACAAAAATTTGGTAGAAATCTTGGAGTTTTAAGATCGAAAAATCCAATCGACTTTTGCTCCTTAATGCATTATTTGATATTATATTAAAAAAAAAGTTTCTTTAATTTCCTCTAAAATGTTCAAAATATTCTTTTAAAAACCTCAAAAATTCTTCTTTTAAGAGAGCTCTGAAATGTTATCCACAATACAACAAATCATTATTTAATTTACCTTTCCATTTTAATTTGCATTGATTAATAAACATCAACCAATGCAAATTAAATGGAAAATATAATAAAAAAAGAGAGATTTAAATGAAGAAAATAATTAAAAAGTTAGGATTATCTTTAAAGTAATTAAACGAAAATTAAGTGAGGGGAATTTTGAATATTTAACCAATAAGATAAATAATATATAACAATTACATTTGATTATTTATAATTCAAATACGAAAGAAAAAACAGATATTGGTGAGAAATTCGGTTTATTTTAGTAGCTATTTGTTGTTGAATAAGCCAAGATGGCTATTGTAGTTAATGCCAGTTAATCCAATTGTTGTAATTCTCATGACGAGTTTGAACTCTTGTAACTTTGAAGCAAACTACTCTAATTGTTTAGATATTGCTACAAAGTGCTTCTTCGCATCTTTAGATACAACTCATTTACTACATTTGTTAGAAAATCTCCAATGTAATTATATGGCACGCGATAGTAAATGACTAATTCAAAATTTCAGGTATTTCATTTAAGTGTTTAAAGTAATTTCAGCTTTCAAATTATTTTATATGTATATATTTAAAATTTTAATTAATTTCTTTGATATTTCTCAAATTGTAAATACTGTTTATGTGTTTTTTTAGAAATGCGACGTTTTTAATAACTTTTGTCGTTTATTTTTAACAAATTTTTTATTAAAGATCGAATTTCTCGCTTGTATTAATAGGAAATTTTAATAAAATTCATCAGAAATATTCGAATTAAATCGCTCGTGACTAAACGAAGCGATTACTTTTTCTTTAGTGTATAAATTAGAATTTATTCTATAGTGGTGTATAGAATATAGTGTACAGAAATAATTATTTCATATCGAATGATAAATAAATCAAAATTGCTTCTTGAATTCGTTCTAAAATAGTTATAAATACAGCCAGATGATATAATTTCCTATAAATAGCGCCAGCCTCTTAAATCATAATGACTTGTTCTGCATATGATGAATATCTTTTAGTAATTCTAATTAATAAGTGTACGATTTTATGTTTTAAATCATATCGTCAACACCCTATCTAGTCCTCACTATTATACAGTTAAACCTCGATTTTACGCCATCAATTCTTTCTTTACTTATGAGATTGGCAGTAAAGGCTTTGGCTCTAGACTGAATTACCACAAACAGTATGAATTATATACAGTAATGAGATCTACACACGAATTTGAGAGTTTAAAAATGACGTAATCTAGTGATAAAGATGTTCTTTTCAACTCAAAATTGCACATTTAGTAATTCATCAGTGACCTTAAAATTCGGTTTCAAGATCAAAACCCTAAGAATTTTTCGAGAGTGGTTCATCCCGGATGTGTCAGGCCCATTCCTCACTCCCTGGTGTCCTATTGTGGGCCTGGCCGAACGCACTATGCCCCTGATAAAAGGCCCCTTTAGTGTCCACAGGACGGAAAGAGTAAAAAATTAATATTTATAAGAAAGATCCGTTAATTAACACTTTGCATGAGGGCGATACTATTTAATAGATGCTATATCTACGTTTGACTATAATTTTTTATGGTTGGAAATGCCTCAGTTTAGCGCCACACTCGATTTACTCCCAGCTTTAGAGGTAAACAAATGATGGCACTAAATCAAAGTTTCACTAGTTCATTAATTAATATATTTTAATCAAATTAAATTTTCGTATTATTTAAGTTAATTACTTTAAAAAATCGTTTTTTATTACATATTTTTCTTCTTTATAGATTCCGTCAAGGTTTCAAGAATGTCTTCCTCTTCTGTTTATGTCAACGTAAATTAAGGCTTTACGAAGAAAGGCAAACAGCAGCAAATTTTTATAGTTGTTCCGAAGCTTATCCCGATGTAAGGGTCACATGCAATGGTAACAAAAATGTAGCTATGACTACCGTTACAGAAACCATAAATGGTAGTGGAAGTTCAAGTACACCATTCCTTCCTCTTAAATTCGAAAACAAGAATAGTCGTTTGTCTATGGTGTGAAATGCTCACAGTTCGTAGTTTTTTGGAATTAAATCTAAATAAAGAAACAAAAATATATATAAAATAAAAGGTGCTATAAAGAGTTTTGCATAAAGAGTATCATCAAAGGAAGAAGTAAATAAAAAATTATATTCAACATATCTTTTAAAAACAAAACCAAAAAATGGCCTATACAAAACAAGAATACAATAATTATAAGGTATTTTACTGCTGATTTTACTAATAAAAAAAATTCATTTTTGCACAGCTATAAGCTACTTAATACTTTAAAAAATGGTCCAAAAAAATAATTTTTCTTCTAAAAAATATGTTAAAATAAGAAATTTGTATTCGATATCTTTGATATTTTCATGAAATGTAATGAAACTACCTCAAAAAAAAAATGACAGAAATGATGGTGAATTTCCATCCTAAACAACAACAGAAACTATAAGTTAAAGTTTTAGGTGCTTTTCTTTGTTTAAAATATAATTTTTGTCCTTTTTTTCCCCTTAAATTAACACCTGCAGCAATTACAATAAATAAGGCTTTCCGTAGGCCCTTAAGGAAATAACACAAAATGAGACTAAATGATGTACATTTTGAAAATATTGTGCTAGTGCATCATAAAAAGAAAAAAAAAAAATGTATTATACTCTGTGTTTTCTTCGTGTTTTTATGAAGAAATGTTTTAAAAAAATGTTAAAAAACACACAAAAATACGCGAATAAATAATAATAGGTGTGTCTATTTAATAAATAAATATCTAAAAAACAACCCCATTTTCTAAAAAATCGACATTTTATGAATTTTTTTTTTTTGAAGGGTGTTAGAAGAACGTAACATTTCTGATGTTATCCCCGGATAAAAAATGATGACAAAAGTTATGCCAAGTTGTAGCAAAATTAGATTACTTGGAAAATACCAAGGAACTGGGATAAAAAAACTAAATAAAAAAAAATTCTTTGCAATGTTCTTTGACTTCTCTTCTTGCACGACAGAAAAGCATTTGTCAATCTTCTGACTGCTTCTTTGGATGAACCAAAGATAACGTTTACAACTATTATTTGCATGCAAATGTCTGCAAGAATTTCAAAGAAAAAAAAATTATATTAAAAAAATATTTTAACTTCTCTCTAATTTTCCCCTTCATATTCTCCCAAAGTTCTTCCACACTTCCTTCCAAATTTAAATTTCGAAGTCTATTATTAGTCATACTCTNTTTATTTAAATTTGTCATATATATATATATAAAAACATTATATATATAAATATATATATAGATGTACTTTAAATTGAATTAAAAATATAATCCCGTGATTAAAATTTGTTATTATTGTGGTATAATTAAAAAAGAAGTAAACGTTTAATAAATTAATATATTAGCATGTTGTTTTAAATCAGTAAAGGCTGTTGAACATAAAAAGATGATGTTAAATGATTATTCTACGTGATTGAACACAAAATAGAATAATTGTTTAATTTTTTTTTAGTGATTAAATGGTGTTATGAGGGGATGTATTATATAAGGGGCTATGACATTGAAGGGTTTAATTGTTAGAAAAATATTATATTCGTGGGAGTTACGCTACAGGTTTCGTTAATTACTCATTCTGTGTCACAAAATAAACATTGCCTGTCATTATTTCCATTTTAATTGTATCCTCTTATCTGGAAAACAATCCTTAAGGCATTTTCTTAGATGTCTACTCTCATTAATTAGTTTTAGGTTTCTTCCTTTTACATACTGCATTAAATTAGCCATCAAAACTATTTTCTCTTTTAATTCTTTTTTTTCTCTTGTTCTTCACCTTACAAAATATCAAATTTTTCTTATTTTAATCGAAATTTTTTATCTTTTAACCTCAACTAAAGTGATATAAGATTAAGCTCCTGAATACACCATTCAAACTTCGCCTAGAAGATTTTTCTTCAGTAAACAATTATTTAAACAATAAAATAAAATGCGTTTATTGACAATATTTAAATTTAATTAAAGGTATCTTTATAATTTCTTTTATTTCTAAGAAAGCTCTTTAATTAGTGATTATTATTATTTAAATATAGAAATATTTTTTTGAATAATTCCTCCAAATATTAAATGATAAATGTTAGTTTCTTTTTTTTTTCTAATGTATATTTGCTGTCGAGTAAAATGAAAAATGATGCAGAGATTCTGACGCAAATATCTTGATTTAATTTACTATTCTAAAAATAATATTCATTTTAAAAATTTAGAATTGTTCCTGCTACATTAAAATTTTATAAATTTTCAACTTTTACAAGAATTTTTAACATTGAATTTATAAAATCGAAGCTGTAACTGCAAGCAATTCCTTAAGATTTTATACCATATCTACTATATTTAGGCTGTTTTTATTATTTAAAATACTTAACTTATTAATAGTATAAATACATTGAATTTAAATAATCAAAAGTGTAATTCATCATCCAAACTGGCTGAATCCCAAAGTAAACTTATTAAGATATAAGTTTATTTTGATAAGATTAATTATATTTCGTATACTTTTAAATGTAGTAAAGATTTTTTGAACTAAAAGAATTTTAAGTGCTACAAGTGATGCAAGAAGAAGAGATACTACCTATCAACTAAGTATGTCGCAAACATGCCCTATCGGGTTCATATCAAGTGAACAGACGTGTCAATCCAAGCGAGCAATTCCATTGAGCTGAGAAGATATTGATTGAAGGAAATTCTAAGAAAAGTGCATTTCATTCGTTACGATGACATTTTCTCCGATTTTTCTGGTCGCTCTACATATCTAAAAATCCTTCTTTGTACTCTATTTCTGCACCATTCAAGAATCTACCTCTTAAGTACCGTACTATCGACAATTCTCAAATACGAGATGGTATCGAAATCGAATCACGTGTATTTCTAGTCAACTGATGAATCTAAATATATTCCATTATTGGTAGTGTATTATCATAATATCTTTGAAGAATTTTTGAAATCAATGATATATTTATTATTCAAGTTAGGTTATTTTTTGAACTAACATGAAGGTTCCTTTCATTTTCTCAATACCTCTCGTTTCAATGTACAGTACAATATTATAAAATGTAAGTAACTCTCATTCAATACAATCTTCTTGATACTATCCACTTAGACTCTAGAACACAAAAATATCAACTTTAAAACTTTTCTATTAAATTAAGGAATGTGTATTCCTTACGCTTCTTCAACCAGTTAGAAGCTTCTAACTTCTAAATGCAAGCATTTCTTCCGGATTAATCACCAAAATACTTTATTTTTACGCTAATTTTATCACAAATTTTTCTTAAAATTTTCCTTAAAACATGAAGATATTGTGAGTTATTTTAGCAATAAGAACGTTAACTAATTATATAAAACATTTATTGAAAAATTGCAAAAAATTGAAGATATTCTTCTGAGTATATTGTATCATTACGACAGAAGGTGCGGCAGAAATCTATTATCTGTGCTTATATTATTAAATATAAAGTTTTAATAATGGGTTTTAAATAAATTTGAATGGATCTAAATACAGAAACACGCTACAGCAAAATTTTCACGATATGGCATCCTTGTTGGATTCTACAGTGTATAGCGGCTGCTGGACCTGTTGAAGATGTTATGATGAATTTTCAGTGGATAGGGTTTACGCGCCTATAATCAGTGGATAGGGCCTATAATACTCGCTATAACGCGGTATTATAGGCCCTACTATTAGCAATGAAATGCATATATTTTTGGGCTGAAATTTTAAAAAATTGTAGACCTATAAATTGCCACTGTCGTCGAGCTGTCTGTCTGTTTGTCTGTCATTCCTTAAGGAATTAGGAGTTAGGAGAAAAAAGTTATATAGAAAAGATGAGATTAGATATGGAAAGCTTAGAGGAAGGAGACCCCGATATATGTATTTTCGGTTTGTATTTCAATTAAGAAATTTACCCGAACGGAGTTATATATATGACAGGCATGACTCCATTGATAACAGGAAAAGTATGATGTATAGGGGCAAGACTACTAAAGAATATGAGAACATTGTGACGAAAAATTGAAGTCCGGCATTTTGACTATGTCACAATAAATAATTGCTCGTTATGCTTTAATTTTAAAAATAATACTACTGAATATGAAATTTATTACATAATAAATATAGTTTTAACTAATTTTTCAAATAATAATTTTAATTTTTAGATAATTATCATCATCTACCGTTAAACATTTATTTTTATACAAAAACTTCGAATAAAAGTTGTTATATCTTTGTATTATTTTCTATAGTCAACATTGACTTTTTAGATTAAAAGAAATGTTTTTTGTTGTGTTTTTTTTTTATCAGATTCCGAGAATTTTCTAGATGTGAAACAACGATAGTAAAAGCCAAAACCGTTTATTTATATCATGACAGATCTAATTCTCTTTGGCAGTTGTCAATGGAACTCCTATCATTTCCCCCTTTAAGGTATAGAAATCGAAAATAAACTCGATTTTTCTACTTGAAAGTAATATTTTCTTTTGTTGTTGTTCAAATAAATTTAATATAATATAATGTTCCTGCTACATTAAAATTTTATAAATTTTCAACTTTTACAAGAATTTTTAACATTGAATTTATAAAATCGAAGCTGTAACTGCAAGCAATTCCTTAAGATTTTATACCATATCTACTATATTTAGGCTGTTTTTATTATTTAAAATACTTAACTTATNTAAAATTATTAGTTTATGTATTTATACCGCTCTCTGAACGACACAGTAAATGATTTTTAAATAAATAGAAACCAGAAGATACTGCAAATAAATTCCTGTCGACCCTCAATACAACGGATTAATAGCAAACGGAAATTGCAATACTCGATAACGCGATTGCCATTTTCGGATACAATGTACAGTACTGTACATAGTCAACTTCATATAGAATATGATAAATACAAGGAAAACAAATACCACGCTTTCAAGTAGTGACGTAAACAATAGCTGTCGACACACTGTCCAGCAAACATTCCGCGCATTAATTATCTCAGTCTGATATTTTCAAACACTGTATTTCCTCTTCCACAGTGCCTTGGAATAAATGAATTTCTTCTATTTTTCCCCGAAATCCCTTATATCGAAGTCTGTTAAATCGAAATAACAGTAATTGTTAAAAACGAAATCGTTATAGAAAGCCAAATGATACTGTAAATATTAAGAAAGACCTTGATCACTTATCTTTTTGAGGTTCTTTGAGATCCTACATAATTGTACAGTAAAATCTGTCTA